CTTGTCCCCGCTCTGCCCAATCAGCGATCGCCAGAGCCACGAGTGACGGCAGCAGCAGCCAATCGCAGCCAGCGGCGGGCTCTGCACACGGCCTGTTCCTCATCCCCGCGCTCTCAGGGCCCCCCGGGCTGTGTGAGGGGAAGGGCGGAGATGAGGAACAGGCCTGGAACGGGCCCGGCCCGAGCCGCCATTGAGCTCCGAACACAAACAAAGTTCTCCGCAGCTCCCAGCCCGCCTTTCCCTGCCCTGGGTGTTCGGTGGCTCCGGCTCAGCGGGAAGCCCTGGAGCCGCACTTCTCCCACCTCTAATTAGGAGCATCAGTGCATCGCTCGTATTTCTCCCAAAAAGGGAAAACTGCCCCAAATCCCTGTGGATGAGTGGGGGAGGAGAGAGATTTCTGGCAGAAAATTCCAAAAACTCAGTGAAGGATTGTGAGAAGTAAATTAATAGCCCTAAAACCAGCTTCCCCCCACCCCTCCCTCCTCCCAGCTGTGCCTCCTACCCCGGCAGTGCAGGTGCGGTGAATTAAAGGGCCAGGAGACCTTCTGCTCCCTTTAACAAGCCTTTATTAGATAGAACTGGGCCTAGAGGTGGGGGCTCGGGGTGCACGCCGCCGCTGCTCCCTGTGGTCGATGTCGAGGATCACACAGGCCTGTCATCATCCACTGTCAGCAGGACCGGAGCCTCTATCCTCGCCAGGATCACCCAGAGACTCTGTCTTAGGCTCAAAGGTCTAGGGGTGTCTTCCCTCTCAAGTCCTGCCCAGGTCATGGCAACCAGCTTGCCGGACTGAGATTGGCACACCCAGTCTCCCCAGGTCCCCGCTGCCTCCACAGTATGGTCCTCCAGATGTTTCCTGAGCGTGGCTCGTTGTCCAGGGCTATCTCCGCTCCCAGGTGGTAATATGATTTTAATATGCACCCATGTGCAAGTCTTTATGGGAAATGGGGAAGTTCATCCTGGGCAGCAGCGGCTAAATTGCCTGACGGGTTGGAAGAGAATAAGGAATGGGGATACAAATGCAAGGATAAAACAAGTAGAAACTTCTTGACAGTGGGCCCTTTTAGGGCTTGCAACACCAAGAAGAAATAAAACAAATATGAACTCCTTAACAGTGAACCTTTTTGGGACTTACCACACCAAAACCCCTTATCCAGGGACCCAAACTGGGATTGAAACATGAACATATAATTTGAACATTGTGATTTTTATTTATAACAATATCCCCCCTCTTTTAATTTGACCAGGCATCAGCCTGCGTCAACTTGTTATTTCAGGCTCCTGGTAGTGAAACTTCTTTAGTCTTTATGCTCTTTAGTCTTTGGTATTGGTCCTTTTTGCTTCTTTCAGCTCTGAACTTTCTAACATTAGGATCTTAGTTTTTCCCTTCTCTTGGGTTATTTCTAACGAGTTGTAGATCGTGCTGCTAGACTGTATTGCTGAGGTAATAATTCTGATCAAACACAGGATGACGCAGGGAAGAAATAACAGTCCTGCTAGTCCTGCTATACTAATGAATGCCACCTTTTCCCACCAGCCCTTAAAGGACCAGAAACTATCCCATCTTAAAGGACCAGAAACTATCCCATCAATCAGTATTCAGGATCGGTGTCCATTCTTGGTTCCCTACGTAGGAGATTTTTCTGATCTCTTTAGAAATGTTCCAGATTACTTCACTTTTATCATCTATTTCTAGGCAGCATTCAGAGGTGTTGAACTTCCCACAGATTTCCCCCTCATCAGCGAGAAGGTAATCTACTGCCAGTCGGAGTTGGTACACCACTGTTCGGGTCTGGGAGAGTTGGTCACTTATATGATCAAGGGCCAGGGCTGTTTTGTTTGATGTTATTTCAATTACAGCTTGGAGCCTGATTATTCTGTTTAACATGTATATTGGGGTCCTATATCCCCAGGACCCATCCTGGGCCCAGGTCACTGGCCCATAAGTTCTTATTATTTCCTCCAGGGTCCAGACTGTTCCTTTCCAATTCTGGGTCCCTCCTGTGCTTATTACACTCCTCTTCTTCCTTTTTAGGGGCCTCTTTAGGTTGTCATATAGTGGTACTCCAAGCTCTGAGCCAATCTCTTTTGGGAGCAGGAAGAAAGCTGGCTTTATCACCCCAATTGTGCAGCTACCTGACCAGTCTCCTGGTAGATGTGTATAAGCTGCATCCTCGCAGATCCAAAAGAAATCATCTGGGGCTTCCCAAAAACCCTCCCTGTCTTCATAGGGGTACTCCCAATGCTTCTAATTCCCCAGAAGGGATTGATCCCTTTTTCTGCACATTCATAAAGGTTATATCCTTTGTGATGAATGCACCCTTTTTCCCTCTTCTCTAAGGACCAATATCTTAGGTTGGGCTCTTGGGGAACCCATTTAGTTCCTAGATTCTTCGTTATAAGGTATCTTTTGCATGCCATCTGCCCCACCGGGGTTCTATATCTTTTTCCAATTTGTAGAATACAGTCTTCCCCAATTACCTTAGCCTTTAATTCCCATTTTTCTCTTCTCCTATACCCTGGTGTTCTTTGGCCTTCCCCAGTTCATTTTATGCTTAGAATTTCTCAAGGTTTCAAGCTAATTCCCTCCCAGGGCCAAATATCAGACATTTTAGTACTCCCACATACCCAACAATCAGTTATATTTAATTCCTTGCTGATCTTTTCAGCTGAATCAATGAACAAGTTCTTCCCACTCAAATTTTCCCATTCTTCATTTCCCACGCTCATGTCCACTCTTTTCTCCTTTACCACATCAGGTTCACCTTTTACTGGTTCGTTCTTTTCAAAGCACAGCCAAGTATCCCTCATGGGACAGTCTCCCAAAAGACGTTCTCTAAAAGTGGCCATATTTCTGGTAATCCAATATGTTTTTCCGTTTTCTTGGCATTCTTCTAATTGTGATTTGTTGTAACAAGAAGGACTCAAATTTGTGTGGACCCTTACCAGGGACCCTAGATTTTCCCCATCATACAAGGGATAATAACATTTCATGCAAGAGTCTGTCCCCATGGCATTGGTAAGGTGCATTGCTATCACCAGACCTACCATGAGCCTTGTGATGATCCTTTTAGGCTCCCTGCAGTCCGTGACTCCCAAGAGTCCAGCAGGAACCATGTTTGATCTCCCCTGGTCTTGCCTCTTGGGGTTTTCCTTACGCTCTTTTAGGGGGTGGTCTGGGTCCAAGGCTTACAGCTTTATTATTTCTCTTTTGTCCTTCTCCTTTTTACTGTTGTCGTTTTTGGTCTTGGGAAAGCTGCCCTGTGAGGGATATAGTCTTGGCTAGGGATTCGAGCCCTATTTGGGGTTCTTCCACCTTTTCAAGCAATAATAACAATAGTTACAAGTTAACCACAACTGGAAAACACTTTAACATTATTTCACAAACTTTAAAGAAACACTTAACCACAAATGTTGCAGCCAAGAGATCACTTAACAACAACTGTTATAATTCCAGTTCCTGGCTGGGGACTTTAGTCTCTGGGTTTCCTCCTTAAGGTTATTTTCAAGTCCTTGGTGTTGGGGACAACAGTCCAGTTAGAGGGATCTTTTTCGGAGTTTACTTCCCCATCTGGTGGTGCCACTGGTCCTTTAACTCGAGTCACGTGTGTCCACCCTTTTTCCCGGGTTCTCACAGCCGTATGTGTGGTGAGTTGAACTTGGTAGGGTCCTTCAAACTTTGGAGTGAGAGGAGAGTTAGCCCAAGATTTTACCAATCCCCAATCCCCAGGGTTGATATGGTGTGTGTCTACCTCAAAGGGAGGAGTTTGAGGGAGATACCCTTTTTTCCTGAGGTTTTCTAAAGTTTTAACAACAGTTTCCAAATACCTCCTTGAGGTTTCCTCCCCTTCAGTATACTGGGCAGTGCTGTAAGGAGTAATTAGGAAGGGGAGTCCAAATAACATTTCATAGGGGGATACCCCTAAATCTGCTCGAGGTCAGGTTCTTATCTGTAATAAAGCCAAAGGGAGACATTTTATCCAATCTAATTTAGTCTCCAGAGTCAGCTTGGTTAAGGTCGTTTTTATGGTCTTATTCATCCATTCTACCCGACCGGAGCTCTGGGGATGCCATGGGGTGTGTAACCTCCACTTTATCCCCAGGGCTTCAGTGGTTTCCTGGAGGACACGGGCAGTGAAATGGGGGCCTTGGTCCGAGTCTATGTTATTGATTAACCCATACCTGGGGACAATATGTTCCAAAAGTGTTTTGACTACTACTCTCGCTGTTTCGTTCCGAGTGGGAAAAGCCTCTGGCCAATGGGTCAGGTGATCTACGATCACTTGCAGGTGTTTGTATCCCTATCCTAGAGGCATTTCTGTGAAATCAATTTACACATTTTGGAAGGGTCTCTCCACTACTTCCCTCCCCCCTGGTACGGGTTTCGTCATCACTCGTTGGTTTACCCTTTGACACGTTACAC